CATTTCGGCAAATTAAGAAAATCAACTGTATGATTAAGAAGTGATTAAAGATTACAATTAATGATGTTTTGAATTTTGACAACTTCAAAATGCTAATTTGTTTTGTGTAATACCACCTTAAAACAGAATGGCCAGATTTAGCTTCATTAGGGTGAAGTTTATCGCCAACGGAACAAACTGTTACGTATACGGTACCCGGCGATTGTCTGGGTGATTCTCAAGTCTTTTTGATTGGATACCTGTGTTTTTCTGTTTTTTTTGTTTTTTTTTAATTTTTAGTTTTTATACCTGTGTTATTATAAAAGAATAAGATGGATTGCCTGTGTGGCCACCAGATCGCCACTGGAACGCAAAATGAACTGTTCCTGTCGATCTATCCGGTRGATCCACTTAAAAAACGAATTTGTCGTCGGAATCCGGTCGCAGTGGAGTAGTGATTTGTCTCTCTATGTCCGACATGTTTGTATGTTCTGAAAGGAGAGCCTTGTACGAATCTGTTTATCACTAGTATTCTRCTTTCTATTTTAGTCCYCTTGTACGAATCAATATCCACTGAATCACACGGCCATCGCTTCCCAATACCAGTCTTAATCCAATAATCTTTTATCCCATCAGGTTTCAACCGATTCCAGCCTATTAATAAATAATTTTATTCTGCAGATATCAAATAATTAAGAAATATTTCTTTCTGTTTTTTAGATACAAGCAATTTGCCGACTAACATCAATACCAGCAGCGCGGCAATAATCAAATTCAACATCACGAGGCCTTCATTCCCGGTCAAAGATATCAAAGCTGCAGAGTTTATAATACATAAAAATAAACTGTCCCAGTCAAAGTACGCCAACTACAGCTTGAATTTCTTCCAAATCCTTCCTACTGGGCCAAATCCTTACTTACCGATCACTGGGGCACGTCGGGACAGAAATGACTTAATGTACCACTCCATCATGATAACACAAACTTTTAAAACCTGGTTTAGAAACGGGTCAACCAATCATGGTCTACTTGTAAATGCAGCAGTTAGCGGGTCAGGGAAACGAGTAAGTCCCTACCAGATAGGCTTTTATGGTTTTGACGGACCCAAAGGCAAGCGTCCAATTTTACTAGTGCAGTTTAAAAAGGCAAGATAACAAAATGGTATGTAATGAAGATGACGATGACGAAGATTCTAATATCTATGCTATGCGTTAAAGAAAGACGAAGCGTATTCCTCCTTCCTCCGATACGGAGAGAGACGTGCTCAGAAATGGAAAATACTTCGGTAATCCATGTAGCAATAACCTTTGCCAAGCAACTAAGCCAACATTAAAGATGTTTAAAATGACTGTTTATGTTTTTTTTGTTTGGAGTTTGTTTGAATTAACTGAAACCTTATTTACTTCAACTGAGGGAAACACGCTGCTCTTCCGAAGTTCCAATTAAGAAATGTTTTGTTATATACCAAAAGTCAAAGAACACAAAACAGCTATTCGATTTTTTAGTTTTTTTAATTTCTTAATTCTTTGATTTAAAAAAAAAAATAATCAAAAACTACCTACATTTCCGGTTAAATCACTTCCGGTTTTCTTATTTATCGGGAAACAGTGAAATTTGATGATTATCACGTGACACCCTCTTGGACAGGGAGAAGAAAGAAAAAATGAAATTGAGCACTTGGCATATGACAATAGTCTCATTGAGGAGTTCTTGTTCATGAGGTCATATGACGAAAGTGTCTTTCACATATATTTCTGAGCCAGCATTTAGGTTCGTTGGTTTTATACTCCAAGGCTTTTCGTTTAAATTGTTCCATATAAAGGTTTGCAGCTAGTGACAGGCGAAAAAAATTAGCCCATAGCTTTACCTTCTTTCGATATATATGCGACAGTAAAATTGTTTGCATTTATTTTATTAATATCAAATTTAATTTCAAGGTCCATCACATGCATCCTAAATGCGCGCAAAAACGTGAGCAACTTGTCTGTTTACCCATAATACATCAGGGGCCACTCAGCACATTTGCAAGTACGGGGCTAAAAACGAGGCAAACGGCGGCCGAAGGCGGGAGGAACTAGAAAGTTAGGGGAACTGAGACCCTCGGCAATGCGATTTCAAGTGGCATTTTTGAAATATTTACTGAATGACAGTTAACACTGCGTCATCACAGCTGGTTGTTCTTAGCTCGCTACTAGTACTGCACATTCGTTGTCAACTTTCTCGTGCAAAATCTAGAATTTCTTGTTCATATAGTGGGTTCACCGACATCAAAACACCAATAACATTAATGAACAATACAGTTTTACTCCTATTCTCTCTAGTAGATGCAGTTTGTATCAAAAACCGTACTTGTTTGTTAAGAAATGTTTCCAATATATGTCCTCATCGGTCTAGTTAGTGTTGTAGTTCTTTTAGTAATTAACTTTATTGTTTTTTGTCTTTGTTTTGTTTGTTTGTTTTGTTTTTGTTTTGCTTTGTTTGTTTGTTTTTTGTTTTTTTTTGCATATTTCGAAAAGAAGAGAAATGCAGGAGCGTGTATTAACTATTTAATCACATTCCCAGAGCCAAGAAAATTTCTCAGTAGTTTTCAAACATCGTAAAGACACTCGCCATGTATCAACCTGGTGTCAAGAACTCGTTAATTAAGCTGTTCGACAGTTGCCATGGCGCCGCTAACACAGGAATAGAAATACAGTACTTCATTAAATGATTACATAGAAATGATATCAGAAAAGAGATATTCGTTCAATAACATGCATTACGTAATGCATTCTTCACATATCTAGCAATAGACCGTTTTCTCAAGGTTGCGTGCGCATCCAAATTTAAAGGAACTTAACGGGCCTCGATACCAGCTTATAATGAAAATTAAGCATGCATTTCTATGAATGTTTTTCTCGATAAGAATTCATAAAATTGATTATTCTACAATATAAATATAAAACTGAATTTGCGTTTTTCAATTTTGTGGCCCGTCAAGTTGGATGCGCACGCAACCTTGAGAAAACGGTCTATTTGGTCAAACCAGGTGATTATATGTCTATAGGGAACACGAATGACACTGATATCACGCTGATACAAATGATTTATACATGATCCCTATGTGCACACATATATTTATTCACTTACGAACTACATTTTTCTTGTTTTTCTCTGTAAAACTAATCGTTAGTAGCAAAAATTTAGATGAAATGTCACGAAATATCAACGGGGTTCAGTAAAATGACTTCAACCGTTACAACTTAAAGTGCTTCCACAGGGACCTGCCGAATAAAGCTTACAAGTCAAAAGATACTTCAAGACTTTTTCAATTTTTTCACGAATTTGTTTGCAAACGTAATGACGAGGAAAGATGATTGGATGGGAAGAAAAGATCAACCTGTGAAGTAGGCAATGCATCCGTCACCAGTTTCAATACGAAAGAGAAGTTATAGGCACACTAAATCAAACAAGCTACTCTATACATAAAGGTCGTTGAAACAACCCTATAGTGAAAATGCTGCTTATTTTGGTTTTGTGCCTGTTTTTCGCACCCATTTCATCCAAGCCTACTGATGGAATATCTACTGTTGGCAGACCCACTTTATCATCGGAGTCGCCGATTTTGTGGCACCATCACGATAGCACGAGCTCGAGTGGCAACACAATTTCCATTCGTTACGACCAAGAAGGTATTATAAGTTGTGCAATTAATTAAGTTGCTCCAATTAAGTTGCTCAAATTTGTTGAGCGTATTATCATCTGGATGCCTCAAATCAAAATTAAATGTTTACTTTATTTTCAGATACCAGCAATTGGCCGACCAACATCAATACCTGTAAATCGGCAATACTCAAATTCAACATCACCAAGCCTTATTTCAAAGTCAAACGAGTCATATCTGCCGACCTTCGCGTTTATAAGATGAACCGGACTCAATCTACAGCTTCATCAACTTTTTCCATACTCAAAGTGCTCCTAATCGATCCCAAATCAAAGCCATATAATGCTGCGGGCTTAACGGCCATTGGATACCCAGTATCTTTACATTTYCAAGGTTGGGAGTCTTTTCCCATTACACCAGGTTTTGAAATTTGGCTCAGAGATGCGTCAACCAACCATGGTCTACTTTTGTCAGGCGAAGACCGAGGAGAGCCATCGAAAAACCAAATAGTTACTCCTTTACATCCTAACATGCTAGGCTTTGTTGGTTTTGAAGGACCCAAAGACAAGCGTCCGTATATATTAGTGAAGTATGAAAAGAAAAGATCGCAAAATGACCATGAAGATGATGGCGATGACGAACATTCTACTTAGGCTAATCAGTTTTATCTACCGATACTCTCATCAGACAAGACAAAAAATAGTATATAGCTCCGATAGGGATTGATACGTCATCTAGTGAAATAATCTACGTTTAAGCTGAAAATATCTCTCACTAATTAATCGATGTAGTAACTATAAAGGGGCGGACCCAAGGAAGGGAAGCAGGGGGTGCGAACCCTTCCCTGGTTCGACTTCGTGCCCCTACTTCGAAGAAGCCAATACAAAGTAGTTTTTTCCTTTTGATTCTATAAGTGATGCACCCTCGATCCCTGGATCATGAACTTTGTGCGCAGCACCCCTTCCTGAACAAGATCCTGGATCCGCCCGTGATTAACCTTCTGAAGAACAAACCTAAGCATAATAAAACTGTTGCAGAAGAGTATACACGTTTGTTTGAATGTCTCGTCTTAATATTTATACCCCTCTCATGCACCTTTCCGCTGTATTCCAGGTTTGAAGCCCACAGACTCACTAGGGACTGTACAATCATTATCAGGAGGGAGCGAAGATGTATTAACGAGCTTCATACAACTCCCTAAAAGCACCCTTTTCTCTTTAGGCTTAGGAGAAATATGGGAAAGACAAAGTGATCCTGACAGAAATTGCAAATTAATAGAAAACTTGTTAAAACAATGAATAAGAGATGTAGAGTTTTGTATAGAGTAGAGTAAGATTGTAAGCGACGACCCAACGGTGAGAGCGCTAGCTAGCACTCGCCTCTCACCAATGCGTGCCAATGCGACCAGGTAGTGCTTGTTGGTTCTCTCCTGTGGCTTCGAGGGTTTTCGGAGTTCTCCGGTTTATTCCTCCCTCAGTAAAAATCAACTTCTAAATTCCAATTAAGTGAAATGTAGTGGCGCCCGCGCTATTTCCGTTTCGTTTTTAGTGAACAAGTTGATGACGCAGGGGAGTAAGGTAAGGCGAATTTAAACTGCGTCCGGTTACTAAAAATAGCCCATCCGGGAATTTACATTGCGCGCGCGTTATTAAGACGTTCTCCTCTCTTATTTATGCTCTCTTGGTACAATTTGATACACAAACTGAATAAAAGATAAAGCTCGTTTCTCGTTAAACGGCCCGCTATACCGAAAGACAAAGAAGAGAGCTTTACATTAAAGTCGAAAATATGGAGATCGCTGTCACATCCCACAGAATGTCTCATGATCATGATGATCTGATTTAGCTTGAAAATGAATTATTAACTTTAATGAACTATTTTCTCGGGACCGCGTAAAAGGGAATGAAAAATGTAAAATACACTTTCTTACGATTTAAGGAATTATATGAAGAAAAAAAAAAGACTAAAAAAATAAAGTTAGCAATAAGGACTAAAAAAAATAAGGTAAAGAAAAGTAATAAAATGCAATTTAAAAGAAAAAAAAGGAAAACAGTGAAGGAGAGAGAAAAGAAAGAAAGGAAGAAAGAAAGAAAGAAAGGAAGAAGAGAGAGAGAAAGGGGGGGGGGGGCAGAGTCTGACTATGACTGAAAATATTAATCAGTTTAGCAGCTAATGCCATTCTTTTTCATTTTTATAGATTATTTATTGTAAACGTGCCCGGTAGTAGCAGTGAAGCGCCAATTTGTCCTTCAATTCATGCAGGCTACAACGTTGGTTTTAGTTTTCCCGGATCCAAGCTTCTTCCGGTGTCTTGTTGTCATATCCTTATTCATCATTCAGTTCAACAATTTATGCTGAGATAAGCTGAGTATTATGATTCTATTAAAAAGACAAACGCTAGTCATCCAAAATTTTCTCAATACGTGACTAGGAAACCTCTACTGGAAATAAATACAATGACAATCATAAACAATTGATAATGGACTTTGGTTTCATGACTGAACAGGAACAGGGTGTGACGACAAGAACGTCATTTACACTAAACGCGCCAAAAGTACAGACAAATCGATTGACCCGATTACGAAACGACAAGCCCAGCACACCATGGCATCCGGAATCCTTCGGTTATCGACTACTTTATTGTGTTTCACTTCATCGATTTGTATGACGGATTTGAGGCGTATCTAATCGATAATAGTTCGTATGACGTCATCATGGGATCTTTATGCTAATCTTTACTACGAAGGAGTACTACAGAAGGTCGAGGGTTTATAGTGTTTGCTTCGAGAATCAATCCACACCTTTGCAATAATTGGCTTGAGTTTAGCCCAGAAATCAAATCTTACGCAAGTGTATCGTCTTTCTTGATTTTGATGAGAGTGCTTACAATCGGTCAGCTGGTAAAATCATGTGATATTCACTCAGTTAGAAGAAATTAAGATCAGAACAAGAGGCATAGTGGAGTTGTAAACACGCAGTTTGGTGTTTGTGATGGCGACTCGCACAATGTGGACTTCAATTGTCTTCGTATTCTGTCTTTTAATGGCCAGCTTGACTATTACTATAGCTCAAATGAATCTTTATATTACTAAAAACGATGTGAACTCCTACCTAAGTAAGTATAAGTCCGAGGTAACGTTTTGAAAGACATTCAAAACACTCCAACAGCTCGTAGGATGCGTACAACACACATCAACACGTGTTAATATTGCTTGGCTTTTTCCTTCCTACAGAGATGAATTTCAACTTCGATCTCTACTTGATCAAAGATAATGAACCTGCAAAGCTTTTGCAAGATCCCAGGGCATTTTACGAGTTTATGTCGCCTTTGCCGTCGTCAGTAAAAGGAGTCAAAATGAGCTGGTTTTCAAGCCCTAAGGTATGTTGAGACGTGACTGATTCAAATTCGAAAAGGAATACATTATTAGTAGTATTGGCCTCATTCATATCACTTCTGGACATCATCCTTCGTTATTTTTACGTTATGTAACTCCTTTTTATCACTGTGTTTTGTTTTTTATTCGACGTGATCCATTTATTATTATATAAATGAGATTTTTATAAGAAGTTTTACTCTGTGGTGTTTAGAATCTCATTACGAATTCATAAAAACAAATACCCCTTATGGTTGACCGATTGTTCTAGATCACATCATGCACTGTTGTCCTTTTTAATTTGTATTTTTTTGCTATTTACCATCATCAAATCTAAACAATATCCAACAAATATAACTTTGAATAATATTTTCTATTTTATCCGGCATCAATATTATTCGCATATTCTTTTTATAACCAAAAGATTAACTTGTAAAGATCGGAAGCAAAAATTCTTTAGCGTGTCTTTATTTGCTAAGCAATGGTCGCAGACCATCCGTCTAGATAATGTATTGACAGTGTGCGCCACTAGGTTCGATTTATTTAATTAGATGTTTTTTTTGTAATTTTTTTTTTYTCTGTCGTGATCGTGTCTTTCCCCGATTTCAACATTGTTTTTTGGACACTTTCAATGATCGCTATACGGTTGTTTTGAATTTATTATCTTATACTATTAGCTTATCTCTTGCATAACAGGATGAATTATTGTATTCCATACCACTACTGAAAGGAGTATGTGAAATAGATGTGAATACCACATGAAATACATGTGAAATTTTCAAATGTATTTCACTTGTCCTTTTCACATAATATGCATGTGAAAAAACATGTGAATAACCTGTGAAAAAAAAGTGAAATTGGGTGGTTCTTTTCCCACCCCAAAACCATGTGAAAAAATGTGAAATTTTGAAAAGACTTGTGGATGGAAGCATGTGAAAAGTATACTTATTTCACATCTTTTCTCCACATGACCATGTTAAAAGCATACGTACTTTTTGAGAAATAGTATGTATACTATTAACCATGTGAAACTGGCTCTTTTCAGATACTAAAATCATGTGAAAAAATATTAATAATGTGAAACTGGTTCTTTTCACATTCTTTTCACAACAAATTATGTGAAAGAAAGTGAAATTGATATCATCAATTTCTTAATGATGTGAAATGTATATATGGCGAAAGTAAATCTTTAAAGTAGTGCTTTGACTAGGTTGTGCGTTCTGCATCCTGCGGACTATTGTAACAAACTTTAGAAAGCGTGCTTTTAGATTTTGAAATCTAGAAGGGTTGGATTTCTTAGCCAATCATATAAGTAGATTATTGAAGCCATGCACTGTGCTTGTGATCAAAATAAATAAAATGAAATCCAATAAGCCACAGCATGTACTTGCTTATGGCTTACATGTACATGTAACTGATTGGAATTTTGTCTTCAAATTCCTCATGGTACTAATTCCTCATTATACTAAAGATGCCTAATAACTCATCTTTTTTTGTAAATATTAAATTAATATCAAAGTCGAATATTCTTCTTTTGGAGCAAGGAAAAACTGCCAACACTCTGTGATTCATCTGAGGGATACTCATGTCTTATATTGACTGGTACTTAACTGTACTTTGCTTTTTTATGCTCTGTTTACATTTAAGTAGGGTGACCCTTACCTTCCAGGGCCCAGTCCTACGAAGGGTGGATAGCACTATCCAACGTATAAATCCTTATCCAGTGAATAAGTTGATGCTGTTGTCAAACAAGTTTATCCACTGGATATAAGATTTATCTTTCGGATAGCGCTATCCACCCTTCGTAGGACTGGGCCCTAGAAGGTAAGGGTTTGTTTTGGATTAACCCCTTGGTGAAAGAAAACCAGTGGCACACCCCTAGCACTAAGGTGATCTTATTTATATGTTACTACATATGTAACTTATTTCTTAAAAAGCTGCTCTTAAAAAATCATGAAGAAATATATTTTTTGTGCAGTCATGAAGAATACACCATTTGGCAAAACACAAGAGAAATGTTATCCCCAAGTGCTTTATAGCTCAAATAGCACAAGCAATTTTTTAAATTTCTTTTATGAAATACGAATAACTATAATCGTTGTTTTGCATGTGATGCAATGGACCTTTATCACACGGCAGCCATGTTTATCCTCATGAAAATAAAACCTTTGTTTCACCCGCATAAACTCATTCTCAAACTCTTGTATGCGAGGCTACGCGTTGTAGAATCTATTGTTCCAACCAACATGGCTGCTGGTGAAAAAGGCACGTAGAAAGTGAGTGTGCATGCTTTGTGCTCTCAAAAAGCATGTGATCCCAACCAATCAGAACATGATAATTATAACAGTACAGCTGTATTTAAAATGTTGTGGGTGTAGATAAAAACTCATGTAAGAGGACTTCCTTTCTTAGTCTCCTCTGCAAGTTACTTGTGTTTTTGTTGCTAGGCTTGGGACAAACACAACAGAGCTAGGCTCCAACTAGGTAAAAGCCCAAGATCGAATTAGAATTTAGAAGTTGATTTTTGAGGAGGGAGGAAAACTGGAGAACCAGGAGAAAAACCTTCGAAGCAATCGAGAGAACCAACAAACAACTCTACTCAAGTATGACGTAGAGTAGAGTTGTTTGTTGGTAGTACTATGGGAATAGAGAGAAAAGAGACACGTGTGGAGGAGGCTATTAAGTTCACCATATGTTTTCAAGTTTACAGCATCAATTATACCAGTTTTTGTACATGAGGTTGACCATGGKTTTTTTTTCTTGTTGTTATATTTAGACTTCAAGTTACAGTATAAAAGTCTTGTCAAGTGATACAGAAATGATGTCTCAACCAATTGCATCCATTGCTGATGAAGGAGTCGTTTCTCATTCAGTCTTCTGTAAGTCTTGAATAGCCATCAATGTCAATGGGTTTGATTTTCCTCTAAAACAACTTTACTAATAATTCGATTATTAATGACAGAGTTTCTGTAAGTAACAAAAGACATGGTGGCCACATGCATGTTAGTTGATATAACAAAATAATCCATTGACAATTCTTTTGTTAAATTGGACTATGATGGCAGCTTTAATGTCATGAGCAAACGAAGGATACACTGGTTTTGGCGTGTTCTTGGCTCACTGTTGGAAGTTAATAATTTTTGAGGCAATATCAGCCAGACCTATGGAAGATACGAATCTATCACTTTTTGTTTTCTTTTCACAAAGGATTTGTATTGGTGCTAGCTCACCAACTTTATTGCTCTTCTCTTATTTGTATCATTCCACTATAGCGTTTTACATATCACTTGTGTGTACTGGCAAGAAAGCAGGCCTTGTGGATGCGTCAATGATGCTCAATTACACAAGTATTGTCAGTAGTTCAGTCCAGAGGGCAACACTCAAGCAATTTACCATTAAAGTCAGAAGATACTGCGATAAAACGGGTATGTGTTAACCCAAGTTATATACATGTATCTACAAAAGATGCCAATGATGCTATGAAAAAAAAGAAAAAAGTAGAACAGAAGAAATAAGTAAATAAATAAATAAAAGAAATGAATAAGGCAATAAGAGGAAAGTYAAGAAAGAGACAGAGAAAAGCAAAAGGATGGATAAAAGAAATTTTGTTGAAAGGATAATACAAACCAAGTGAATGAAAGAGAAAAAGGGGAAAGTAGAAGACAATTGGAAAAAAATCAATTTGTAAGATTGTTTTACTACTCCACTTTTCCTTAATTATTTTTACCCATTTTCTCCATTCTTGTAGTAAAAGATCCCGACAAGCAAGCAGATGGCATGAATGCATGGTCTAGAGGAGCAATTGTTGGGTTGTCAGCAGGAATAACAGTCTTCTTGTGTATCAGTGTTGGCCTGGCATTGTTGTTTAAGCACTACCTCAGACAAAGGAGACTCAAAATGGAATTTGAAGATGATTTAGAAATAGAAGAAAAAAGGTAGAAAAATAAATTACACTCACTTGTCTGTTTATTACACTTTATTATATAGTTAGTGTAGTATACACATGCTGATTGGTCGAAAACTGTGCTTTATTAGTGAATGGAGCACAGTGCTGATGCCATCCATGGGTAAGAAGTGCTGCTAGATTCTGCGACCGTCTTTCTTTTTGCATAAGTAAATTCAATACTGAAAATATTAGATATTAGTAGCTATATGATAAAATGAATAAAAAAGCTTTTTTCCATGCTCATTCCATTCAGTAATAAAGCTCTAAGGAAGCACCTTAAGTAATCAAGAAGTGTGAGAAGCACTCACTTACGGCTTACGTCACTTCCTGCATGCTTTATTACTAAACAAAGCACGGAAAAAGCTATTTTATTTGCTAATTTGGTAATGATGATTATGATGCTGGTGATGAAAATGATCAGATACATTGTACACTTTAAAAAATCTTTCAATTCAAAATAAAACAGTTTTAAAGGCAATTTAAAAACTGAAAAAAAATTGGAAAAGCCTTTGATCAATTTTTGAAAATTCCAAATATAGAGATTTTGTCAACTCTGGGGAAAAAATAAACAACTAGTTATCTAAGTGGTAACATTAAAAAACATGCAATTATATTCTTTTTCAGGCAATTTGGATTAAAGAAAGTGAGAAGTCTTCCTATTCACAGACCACACCCATCATCTTCTACCTCCCCACCCCCTGTCATATACTCCCCAAAACGGCCGAAATTTGTGGTGAGGCCTCGACAGAGAAGTGAGACTAATGCCAGTGATATTTCCACTGTGGGACTGATATGTAAGGATGAATCTGAGGATGAGGAACAGAGGTCCAAGCAATCAAGTCCTGATGTTCCTAGTGAAAGCTATGGTTAGTAATGAAAAATTTTATATTAGGATTTCGCATGCATGAATGCTTTTTTAGAGTATAAGTTCATATCAATCAAATTATGTTAGCACTAAAAGATTATTACAGCATGACGTGAAAAAGTATGACCTTACATTCATTTTCATACATCACCGCATTAGCATATGGCCTGGAAAAACCTTTATAACTTCAAGAAGCTGCACTCAAATTTTACATTTTTTTCCGGGTCATTCAGCATCTTATCCCATGCAAAATTGATACTGAGAATATTGTCAGAATGGTGATAGGCACTTTAAACAGATCATAAAAGATAACTAACAATAAGGCTGCAGGTCTATATTACCCAGATGCTGCTGTTAGACCTGCAAATATTAGGATTTGATCTGATTGTGCTTGTTATTCCATTCAGAAGCAATAACTACAGAAAATCAGGATCTTTGTTCAAGTAAATCATGGTCTAAGGTTTTTGCTGGAATGTTGATCAATCCTGCTCACCTGCAGAGGAAGGAACTCATTGGCACAGGTACTGACAACCATGCTCTACTTTTTCCATATCTTCACTAGTCAACCACGTTATTACTCTTTATTCCTATTTATAAAATAACTGTTATAAATCTTGCATTCTGATTGGTTGGGAGCGTGTGCCTTATGAGAGCACATAGCAAGCACACAATGTTCAGTTGCGTCACCCCTTTCCAAAATAATGACTGTTGAAATACATTTTTCATAAAGAAATAAAAAACTTGCTTGCTGTGCTGTGTAGGGTTATAAAGCACTTGGGGATTGGCAGAACGCTCGAGAAACTTCAAGAAGCACTTCGCTATGCATTGTACTTCTCTCGTGTTCTGCCAGCCCCACATGCTTTATAACCGCACACATAATGGTATGCATATGGCAACCAGTTTGAATAACTGACAAGCAACTGACTAGCGCTTCATACATGTGAAAAATGTTTTTTCATTTCCACGTGAACATGAGACTAAAAGCAAAATTTATTCAAATTGTCACCATATTTCCATTTGGTGTATACAGTATATATATTTTTGACAATTCAAGTGATTCTTGAAACAAGTGGAGTCATGCCATTTTATTGATCTTTTTATTGGAATTCTGTTGTTTCTTTCAGGTACTTTGTGCAATGTGTATTATGGACTTTTAAGTGAATCCAATTCACAAAATGATAAAGAAGTTGCAGTTAAAACTCTAAGAGGTAGGACTTGTTCACTGTTGCTTCATTTAGTTTATTGTGGGCTGTGGTAAAAGATTAGAAAAACTTATAAAATTTATTGAATATTCCACATGTATTTTGTCGCTTGTTCTTTCACCCTTGGAACTGCAGTAGGTGAGATGAGTTTCTTTCAAGTTCTCTACTGTCTTCAAGGGTTTTTCACCTCTCTTGTATAATTTTTTACATAAAAAAGGAGCATTTTCATATTTCAGTTTCATCATTGAATGAGATTCAAAAGCCCACCGAAGCCTTAAAGTCAACATTTAGTGATGCACAGTATTTTAGGTGTTCTCCTAGTAAAATGATATTCTAGTAATAAAAACATCAGGCTGCAATAAAACTACTAAAATTACATTTTGAACATCAATTTTCCCATTCCTAATAATAATACTGAATACTGTTTTCCAGATGGTATGACTTCTGAAGCTGTTAAAACCTATGTGGAAAAAGTACTTGCAGTAAAGGATCTCCGACACCCAAATCTGTTGACACCCATGGGTGTTGTGCTGCAGCCTTCATCCACACCTCAGGTGGTCATGCCGTACATAAAATATAAAGAGCTAAACAAGTTCTTGAGACAGGAACAGGTTTGTAGATTTGAACTTACTAAAACAGCTAGTGCATGCCATAATACAGGGCACAAAATTAACATTTCAAAGTCACTAGTGATTGGACGCTGTGAATAACAAATTTTACTTGATATGGGTTCTGACCTTTTCAGTCCTTCAATTTCTGGACTGTGGTCATACTCACAAAAATTAGCTAGTTAATTTTTTGTCACTCGCTAAATACAAAATTTCACCTGCATTTCGCGAGTTTGCCCTGTAATAACAAATAATGCAACTCAGGTTTGATCCCAAACTTGTTGTTTTGAATACATGTATAATTACTTGCTGGTTCTCACCTGTGCATCGAGGACGTTTCTCTAGTTTTCCTACTTCTAAGAGTTCCATCCCTGTTGTGTAACTGCTAAATCACAGAAGTTTATGCTGCTCTCAATAATTATATGACACACATTTTGGAATTTATGTTGGATGGCAAGATTAACCATAAAGTGCATTTTTTTACAGACAAAACCTTTTCAGTGTTATTTTTGTGCCATTTTTCTTACATGACATTTGGTGAATGCTATAAGCTGAAACTCAGGCTTCCAACTAATATCAATTGGGGTGCTCGTTTTATTTTTGATCTTCATTTTGATAATTTATCAAAAAACAAATTTGACCAATTCAAAGACTTAGCTGGACAAGTGCAAATCATTTAAGGATTAGTTATAACATTACATGATTGGTTGTCTTTATTCATGATGATTCCATTTATGTAACAATGTAATGTTATATGACTGTATTCATTTTGTTTTTGTAGGATCTTTCATCTCAGCAAGTCATAAACCTTGGTTGTCAAATTGCTAAAGCAATGGATTATCTAGCAACCAAAGACTGTGTTCATAAAAACCTTAACTCAACTCACTGCATGTAAGTTTTATTTGATTGTTACCTTAATTGCGACATGCTCTGATTGGCTCACATTTATATGTATGTGTATAAAAGCTGGTTTTCATTTAATATAATTGCTGTCAAATTTGGTGAATTCATTTAATTATACCACCTACTTACAACTTTCTTAATATTTTAGGGTCRGTGAAGGTAACGAGGTCAAAGTCATTTACAATAGTCAAGTACCAATCATCAGTGAAGACAGCAAGAAATGGATGGCTCCAGAATGTTTAAATAATTGCATCTTTTCTCACAAGAGTGATGTGGTAGGTGCCTATTATGACACTAACAATATAAGAACCCCAAAACTGTATACTGAATCACTTTCTCTCCAGCTGTGGATAACTGTACATCTTAGCCTGCTACATGTCAACCACATTTTCCCCAAGATACCTTCAAGACATTTAAGCCAGGAAAAGGCCCACATCCTTAGAGACCAATCTGGGGTTAATCTACCAAATTAATATCTTTCAAAAGACAAACATGTTAATTCAACAGTAACTTTAAGCTGGCTTTGAACAAATCACTTACCATGACAACGAAGATCTTCACATATATGTAAACTAACATAATCCATGATTATCAATAATCTATGGCTAGAGCTGCTGCTCAAGAACTTCCTGTTTTCATAAATATTCAAAGTTCTAACCAAATCTTGACATGTTGTCTAGTACTGTACTTAGTCATAGCCTGTGTTTTCTATCTTACGGGGCGTTTCCACACACTTCTTTACATACATACATGTAGTGCTTTGCACAGTTCTGATACAGGGTTGTGGGACAAGGCTCATAATAGATGAATTACTGACAGTTCAGTGACATTTTGCTTTATCAATATTATTTTAGTGGTCATTTGGTGTAATACTGTGGGAGATGGCTAGTGCAGGTCAGCTACCTTATCAAGATCAAGACAGTCAAAGTCTGCTTGTATATCTCCTGTCTGGAAATAGATTACCACAGCCAGAAAATTGTCCTGATGAATTGTAAGTAAAACCATACTAAAAGTACATTGTACTGCCAAGTAATTGAAAGAAATTATTCTTTAATCTTATGTACGATCTTTTTTGCTATCCTGTTTCACAGAGATTAATAAAAAGTATTTATTTACAATTACAATTGGTATATAGCTTTTTCTTTTCCTTTGCTAACGTTGTGTCATTCTTGTCATAGATATTCTCTCATGTTACACTGCTGGAGTTTAAGCCCCAAAGACAGACCAACATTTGCATGGTTAGTTGAACGTTTAGATACAATGCATCAAAACCTCAACCAAGAAACAACAAAAGAAACATCCACAGAGACAGTCTGTTAGGTCATATTAATTCCAAAAGCAATCATTCATATATATTTACTAAACTAGCCAGATTCAACAACACGAATATTTTCAAAGAAAATTTAGCAGGAATTTTCTATTTTTGGATATAAGGCTAGATAAAATTATAAATACAAAACCAGAATATCGGTGATTAGATACATTATTGTATCTATTTGTCATGTAAATTTTGAATATTATCTTGTGTATATTATGTAACTATACATTTGTTATATATATGTATTATATTTCCAATATTAAATTAAGATGTTAGAAATAGGAGGATAGCTAAAGTACTGTTAGTACAGTAGTAAATAGAAATAATGAAAGCAAAGATGACAGAGCATTGCCTTAATTATTTAATGATAATAGGATAAGTAATGTAATGACTGTCATGTGTTTGTATTTATACTTGATTGTTATGTTAGCTATATAATTATGATAGAAGTCTAGATGGATGGATGAAAGTAAATGATATAAATATTTTGTAGGGCTCAAAAATATTTTTCTTATTTGTCTTAGAGCCTATTAATTTATTTGTCTAGAATAAAAATAACTTACTCTAAATAGCCAATACTAAGTAAACCAATCAGGTTTGAATATTGACTTTGCAAGCTGAAGCAGCAAAATAGTTTAACCTATTTATAACCAGCATTTTCTGTTCACAAAGCAAAAATTCATTCTCAGGTGTCTAAGGTATTGATTAAGATATCTTTGGCATGGTGTGAAGGATCAGCAAAACCACTAGGTTTGTCTTAAAAATAGTACCCTACTACATAAATAGTGCTAGTTAAACAATAGAAAACAATGGAATTTGCATGAAATTGTGCTATTTAGTATTACTAAAGTTTCACGGATTTACTGTGGTCACTCTAGTAGAGTACTAGCATGTAATAATTTGTTTAGTTTGTTATTACCCAATAATAGTAATGGGTGAGGCAGAGAAATAGAATTTTGATGCTGCAAATCAATTTTGTTTTTCTAGTTCGGGTTATTTGTTAAAAGTACATTGAGTAATTTATTTTTATAACTAATTGTCATATCAGTAAGAAATGTTTTTGAAAATAATCAGTTCAGCTTGCAGATCAGCACATTTCATTTAAAATTTAAATAATTAATAAAGCATAAGAATACGAATTTGTTTGCTTGGGTTATCATTAGGTATGTAGAATTAAAGTAAAAGTCTTGGAAGTAAAAGTAGAACTATAGTACTGTCTGTGATTACTGCTTGTCGTAGGGATAATTGAATAAAACAGGATCAGAATTCATGAAAAAATGAATTTTGTTTTGCAAAAACTATATCTCATCATCACATCGCTCTACACAGATCTATAATGTTTAATTAAACAAGCAATAGTGTTTTATTCATCTTTTTCAAATAGTAAAATAAACCAAAGCTCTATGAATTGCTTGAAACGATATAGTCTGTCATTCTTTTCATTGCTGTCACACATAATATACTTTGTATGAGTGATATAATATGGCTAGACTATGGTCAGTGCAGTGAGACTGCTTACTTAACAACTAATTTTTTTAGTATTCAGAATTTACAGTCTTGTCTAACAAATTTAAGGCATTTTTTAAAATTTTGATGTCTTGACTTGCTAATCTCAGAAATTTTTTAGTGGCTTTCACACTAGTTTAGCATCACTCTTTTAACTTCCTTTTACGACAGTAGTACACTATGTAGTCATTATATAGACAGTGGTTTACATCTATCCCAGACCTTCAGTCTGTAAAGCTTACAGAAATATAAGTATTGCAGACTCAAGACATGGGAAAGATTTTACCCACCAGTCTTGTTTCCAGTTTTTCGTGATGTGAATCATTGCAAGTTTTATAATAATTAGTTCAGAACTGCAACCTTAAAAACCAAATTGGCAAGAAAGATGAAATAGCATAAATATAAATAAGTCCATTCATTATCTACTTTGTACATATATGTTATCAAAATGTTAGTATTAAATTTTTCGGAATATATTTAGCTTTTTTCTATTAGCATAATTTCAGTATCGTCCTATATGCTCTTTATGATAAACTTGCTAGCAAGTTTATATTGGAGAGACCCATGTGTAGCCTGTTATCCAGGCTGGTACATTCTTAAGCAGGAAGTCAAGCATGTAGGGTTGTTCAGCTCACCTTCGTGGAATCGTTTACTCATGCAGTTTGACGTGAAATTCTTTTTGTTCATCAACCTCATGAGAAATAAAATGTGCCAACTACTGTATAAGTATGGAAGTGAGTACCCCCTCTCTCCGTGTAGCAATGTTGTCTAACAGGCATTTTACCAGCCTACCAATATAAATCTTCATGGAGCAACATTGCTAAGGGAAGGGGATGGATATTTTGTAAAAGATCGTTTTTTTCCATGGAGAGTTTATATTCACTTTATCATGCTCGCTGTTTATACCAGAAATGCAAACCTTTCATGGGTACTCCGGCGATTACATTTTGTTTTGTACTTTACAACACAAACCCCAGATGAATAGGAGCTTTTAATGCATTCAGATGTCAAATTATTGCATAGCAAAATCTATGGGGTTGGTTCGCACTTAGTTTTTTTTTATAAAGATATAACCTAACCTAAGCATTTTCTTTGTATTGCTATCAGTTGCYATGATGATGCTCGTGTATCTGCAGTTCTTATCTTATGTTTGTGCTCATGTTTATACCAAAGTGTAGACCACACCTTGGACAAATACATTAGTTTTGAATACATCAAAGTGCCATAGTTTTTCTGGGGTTTGTGCTGTAACTACAAAAAAATGGACTTTCTGTTCGAGTTATAGAACATACAATATTGCATTTTATTTTTGTAAATATTGATATCGTAGAATTGAAATACTGAAGTGAATACACATTGAATGTGTGCCACTTTGAAGCCTCGTGTGGCTGTGAAGTAAAGTATTTAAGCCATCCATAAGGGATATTACTAAGTTTATCAGACTTTATTTCCTGGTTGTAATTATTATCTATGAAAGAAAAATGGCTTTTGATTAGGCAAAGTAAGTAATTATGTCAGTGGCACTGTAAAAATGTTGCATAGCACACTAATAAATGAACAAACAATTAAAATAGTGTCKTCTTTATTTCCGGGAGGGACTTGGGTGACTTGGTATGGACAGACCTTTTTATGAGCAACCGGTTGAACTTGGGTGTAGCTGTGAGTGGGCAGCCCCGGGATGGGAGGGGGGGGGGGTACTCCTCTATATTCGCTATACGGGTACGCGCCGCCAAACAGGGACGGTATATGAATTCGCGCTCTCTCCTCTGGAACTGGGTATCTATTTTCGCAATACCGGAACAGGGTTTATGTACAATAAATCATCATTCAGCAAATCGAATTAACTTGTCATTTAATGGGTATGGTTTTCAGCGATCTTAATTTGGAACAGGGTATGAATTTCAGCGATTTTACTCTGGAACAGGGTCAGGGTACAGAGGGCTCAGCGGCACATCCCTACCCTGACGGGCGATAGTGCCCCCGGAGTGGGACGGGAGTTTTTTGTTGGGCTACCTGTGGTCATGGGGCTGGCCATGGAGGGAATGTTCGCGCCAAAACTCGTGTGCTCGCCTCTCCAACTCTGGTACTTTCGGTTAAACTAAGCCTGGGTCCACACCGGTTGTATAGCCTCTCAACATATCCAAATGTATAAAGACGATGAATAAGCAGACAGCTATGATGAAAAACTATAAATGGCATTTATTGAAGTAGATTTTCAGTAAAATACATGTGTATGAGTAAACTTCACAACTCCTCTTTTCTTTCTTCTATTTTTTCCTCTTTCTTGTCCTTTTCTTTGCATGCGTCAATATTGGCGAGTTTAGGGATCAAATGGTTCCAGAATACCATTCTATCGGCGTGTAGCTTTCTTCCTACACTGGGCTCAAGTTTGATGTCTAGATACTCTTGACTAATGATGTTATACTCTGGCCATCTGAACAGGTCTCTATCGTAACCGTTTGGGCTCCTACGAACAATAGTTTGAATCAAAGCGCGGTTAAGACTTGCGACACATGCAAAACCAAGCAGCAAGCAGACTCAGTTTTGCCAATGGAAGGCCTGATTTGGCATGACTGTGGAACCGCAAGCTGCCTGGCAATTTCCCGAGACGGCATTGATATCCGTTGAACCAATCAAAGCGCGAATTCCCTTCTCAGCCAATCAGTGCTCGGAATCGCTGCTGTCTTGGCACGTCACGGCACGAAAGTTCGTGTACCGTGAGCTTTGCACAGTTATACGAGTCTAGGCCCTTTTACTTCGGGTGAATCATAATGTTCACTTTAAATTGAATTTGTTTGAGTTCGATCAGATATCTATATAACTTTTCAAGTGTAACAAGAAAACAAAGGAGTTATTCTAAAGGGAAAGACACATTGAAAACTGTGACGAGGCTGAAAGGTTTTACCATGTGATACATTTCAAAAGTCGAAAAAATTAAAACCGAAATACATACCCATATATGGCAACGTTACTCCATAACCTCATCATCATAGTACTCAGACCTCTCTCGACATCAGTGTACGAAAAGGCTTGCGACACGTATGAATTTTCCTTCCATGGAACACCAAATACGTATTGTACATCATCAAAGTGATGTACTCCTGTGTTCTTGGGATGGATAGAATAATAAGACTTGTGAGAGAATTGGTACACATAGGTATTGATACCCGCCTGGGCGTAGGCGTTGGCAGAATAAACGGCGCGGGAAAATTGCCAGCTATCGCTTATTAAATCCTTCCAACTTTTGAGCAGATTCTCGGGACTATCTGGATCAGAGTGATTGGTGTATTCATAAAGAATTGCCTGCTTCACCAACTCGTTTCCTCCGTCAGCTACAAAATAAACCTTATCGAACATACATTGAAAAGATTCCCTAGTTGGGGGAACATCTGTGTTGGGTTGTGTTCCGTATAACATTGCGTCCCCTTCGTCTCGAGTCACACCTAGTACTACAGAACCTTTTAAATGATTAAAACGTCCTTCAGACAGTAAAACATTTGGTTTATCCGGAAGGAAGTGTCCATCAACCACAGGGACGGGAAAGTAACTCCCCAAGAGGTGGTAGTCGACTGTACCTTGGGCTTTGACGATTTCTTTTCTCGTCTTACTTCGCAGACAAGGCAACAGGTCCTTTGTGATGTCACACTGAAGCTTTTTCACAAAATGAGCGTGTTTATTTGGGTCACTTGAGGATGAGTAAGCAAAAACGGATGTAGCAAAGCCACTTTGGATTATAGCGCTGCTAAACAATCCTTTGGTTAGCGGTGATAGTATCAGAAGATCAGTACTCACTCCACCAGCACTTTGACCAAATATGATAACCCGGTCAGAATCCCCGCCAAAACGACCAATATTTTCTTGAACCCATTTTAGCGCCATCACTTGATCCAACATCCCATAATTACCCGTTAGATCAGTCCCAGGGATGTTAAGAAAGCCCAGAAGCCCAAGCCTATAATTAAAAGTAACCACAATGACATCGTTGAAGCTTGCCAATACCGAGCCATCATATCTGCTACCAGCACCATGGTACAGACCACCTCCATGAATCCACACCATGACGGGTAGTTGCTGAAGAGGCTTATCCATGTCTGCTGGTGTATAGACATTTAGATATAAACAGTCTTCACTTCGTATGCCTGAAATGAATAACATCAAACTATTTCAATATAAGGTTAACCAATCATGATGCAGAATAAAGAACTTTAGCCAATCAGCCCGGGGGGGGGGCACTCCCCTATATTTGCTATACGGGTATGTGCCGCCCTATAGGGTATGGTTTTTCGGCTTTTGGGTCTGGGGTAGGGTATCATTTTTTGACATTTTGTCTGGGATATGGTATTATTTTAGTCTGGGATAGGGCTAACGATTTGGTCGTTTTTGTCTGGCGAATAGGCTACGCTTTCTGCCGACCAAAAACAATGAAACATTTTAGTAAATATTGATTGCAATCGATTGTAAAACCGTATTTTCCGTCTTTTAGTCTGGGCGGGATAGGGTGTACAATTCTTAGATTTAGTCTGGGGTAGGGTATGTAAAATGAAAATTTTAGGTCTGGGATAGGGTCAGGGTTTTGAGGTCCTGGCGGCACACCCCTACCCAAGTTGGGGTGGTAGTACCCCCCCCCCCTCCCCCCCGGGCCAATCAGGAGGATCCGTTGTTTCTGATTAGCGTATTAAGTGTGGCTTGAGTTTGGATGCTTTATTACAATCTACAGTTTGAAAGGGTCCTCGCTAATTAGAGTAGTGGTGTCCGCAATGTGGTAGCAATAGACAGCAATATTGCAATTCCTTTTTCTGGCTAGTAAAAGATGTCAAGACATCTATATTCAACCAAACGTTTTCGGATTTATTAAACCATCTCTTCAGGGATAAACATTATCGACTTATAGCTGAATAGCTGAAACACATCTGTCTATCTTAGCGGCCTTGTTCTTCTAATGCTCTAGCGTGCAACAAAAATGAAGATCTATTCTTAATCCTTCTTTCTTGCTTTCTTTCTTCCTTTCTCCCTGGAATTTTTAATAAACCTTTTTAGAGCATTAAGATATTCTAATTGTAATCGAAGTCTAATTACAAAATTAATTAATAAATTCTTAATTATCAATGACGTAATAATAGCTAATTAATATTTAGAGTATTAAACTTGGCAGTGTGCTAGAGTGTCATTGGCTGCTTTGTAAATATTTACTGAAAGCTTATATTGAAATTTGCGAAAAAAATCAAAATTTATGATATTCATGTAGAAGATTCTAGGTGTTAGACGTTACGAACAAGGTAAGCTGAGGAATTGTTAGTATTTTGCTGTAAGAATTAAAGAGAAGCTAGAGAAATAGTAGCTGCGCGCTTTTTAAGTACAAGCCAAGTACAAGAAACTAATATTTCGCAGGAGGATTTGCTTCTGGGGATTTGCTGTCTTCTCGTTGGAATCGAAGAGAAGCTACAGAAATAGTAACTGCTCGCTTCTCAAGTAACCACGGAAGAAAATACGTACTTCTTTTGCAAAGATTTCTCAAAAAAAACAAAAAAAAAACAACTGGCTTTCAAAAATATGGAAGCATAACAATTGCTGTACAGAATTGACATAACTCATGTAAATTTTAAAATAATGCGTACGGCAATAAGTTCATTTCCCCCGAGTAATACAAGAACTGTTATCCTTGCTGAACTTTAAAAATGCGCAAACAGAAGAACTCAGAAGAGAAGCGCGCGCAAGATGCTTACTTAATTGTATTCTCCCACATCATACTGGGACAGCGCGCCATCAATAGTGACTTATAAATGAGTGATTGATATTTTGTCATTCCTTATATAGGCATGGAATCGTTTATTCTTGAAAGATACAACACTATCAGGAGTGACGTCATTGCCTGGTTCTATAGTTTACAATTGGTTACATTGGTTATGCAAATAGCTGTCTACCGACCAGAATTGAAAATCTTGCGTCCATTTGTCAGCCTTGTTCGCTATGCCTTTTTCTCGTCCATGGTTCCATTCATCGGTCTTGGCATGTGTTTAGTGGCTGCACTACTTCCATTCATTTTCACTTGGTTCATCTTCTTCTTTATCGTTGTTATTTTTCCTTGTACCATTCCTGTTACTGGTGCACTTGTTTTAGCTGGATTGTGTTATTTGGCATATCGAGTGTTCTTGGCTATTCCCGATTTGATTGGTGTCCTATACCACCATTGGTTGTCCTACATGGCCAACGTATTACACAGCATTCCAATATTGATGTCAGCCGTTAGTACAATCAGCCATCTTCCAGAACATGCTAACACTTGTCTACAATTCATTAATCATCAACAAGCACTGATCTTCTCTGCGATTGGCTGTGCTTGTCACGTGATATTCAACCCGATAGAATCTTTGTTGCTGTTGACGAGGCGACTTGGGAACTTGTTGTGGAGTTTCTTTTTTGAAACTCCCAGAAATCAGCTGCTTGGAGCAGCGAGACGTCAACAATATTTACTAGACACTGCATCGACTGGTTTTATGCAGCTTTTTGTAGGCAGTTATGCAGATCTGCCCAGGGAGGTGCTGCTGCTACTGCTACGTGATTACCTGATGAATGGACCAGTATATCAAGTCAAGAAATGGTTCCGAGAGAACGTGGAAATTCCCGAAGTGTTTACCGACATGATGACTCATTCCATCAGTAGCATCACCCTTGGGGCCTTGGATGGGTCGCTGTTGGCAGACGTTGAACATCAAGACCGTAATGGACGATCTGTTGATCGAAGTACAAGATCTGCACCRCTYTTGAGGAGTGGGRTRAACGGACGAATGTGAACAGGTTTGGCTGCAGACSAGATGGTTATTACCAGGGACATAGTGAGGGGAGATTATACTAAACTCTTAACTTATTCCATTTTAATATCATTGTAATTTATAAACATATTAACAAACCTCAAATCTAATCTTGCGATATAACTATCGTTCTATAAATTCAAATAATTAATAACTGGCCTTTTTCCCCTTTTCCAATGAAGACAATGGACGAATAAAG